AAAATAAATACTGGGAGAGGAGACATTTCAAACTTATACTGATATTTTCCTAATATTTCTAAATCAAAATAAATAACTTTGGGGCAAATATTTGCAGAAGAGGGAAAACAGAGATTTCAACAGCTGCATTAACCTGTTAAATCACAGCACATTGCTTTAACTCAAGCTCCATTTGGTATTTTCTCCAAGAAAACAGAAGCTGTTCATGTTTACCTTTTCAGCTGAAGCCTCCATGTATCTTCCTGCCCTGAAGATCCTTGACCTTTCTTGGAATAAGTATGTTGGAGGAAACCTGAATCTGCTTTTGCACACTCTGAAGCTTTCAGCTGCCCTCCAAGTGCTAAGACTGAGAAGCTGCTCCCTGGTTGCTGAAGATATGGCTTTCCTGGGTATGCATGTGCCTGTGACAATGAAGTCCTGGCACCTAGAACCTGCATTCCAATATGGTGGAAAATATGTGGGAAAATACTGAGCGTGGAGTGAAAGGCCATAGGTGTGATTCCTGGCTCTGCACCTTATTGTCTATGTGACCTTAGACAAGTCACTCAATTCTCCTTATCAGTAAAAGGGAGGGTTTATGCTAAAATATTTTTAAAGTCCCTTCTAACTCAAAAACTAAGACAGTTTGTGTTTGCATCAGAACGTGTCTGATATCTGTGGTGTGTAAATGCAGGGAAATAGTGGAGGGGAGGGGCTGGTAGGGAGATGGGTGATGTTCCTAGGCTACCTGGTCTCTCTTCTGTTACCAAATTATTTTTATAAAGGTGAATCTGTTTAAAATGAGCAGCAAAGGCAGCCTTGAAGGAGAAGGCATACCACAACAAAGCAGTAACAGTCTGAGGAGGTGTGTGAAAAAAATAAAGGGTTGGGGTCACAAGATAATTGATTCTATCTCCTCCCATCTTTACTCTGTAGATGTATATATGTGGTCATTTAAAAGGGGGCAGCAATTTGAGTGTAGGAATTCAGGATGAGTGTTGCCAGTCCCATTTTATAGCTAAGTGAAAGTACAGGGTAATCTACACAGTTCTTTCATAGTACCCAGGGAGCACTGGGAGGAGCTTTATCAATTCAACCCAAATATAAAGCAGTCCAAGAGGTCAGTTTTCCACCGGCACCTTCTGTGCTGCTACTGCAATCTGCCACTTATTTGTTAAATTATAGCTAAGTGGCTTCTTCCCCAAAGGAATTCATAACTCTTTTGTGAACTCCAATCAAAGCCTCAGGGCTACATGAGCTCTTTTATGAGTCAGACGCACAGCCCCATACAGTCAGCACAGTAAAAATCCCTCAAATCTGTGTTTTTGATTCCTTTGTTTCTCCCTCAGGAGGAACTCTACCAGGCCAGCTTGGGGCTGGGTTGATAAATTCCTTTTAATTCCTCTCTTGCCCCTGGATGCATGCAGATTACCCTAGAATTTCCTCTAATCACCCTGGAAGGGCAGAATGGATCTTGCATTCCTATAGCTATATCCAAACTGCTGCTCTCACCACCTCTAACCCTGACTTCCAGGCTATAAGATCAGGAAAGAAGGAAGGAAACAATTTTGTTGCAAAAATACCTTCAGATTCCCAAGATGAAGGTATAATCTAAGAAGAAACTATGGCATAATTCTTACTCAATACTAGGTCACCCACGCCTGGAATGTTTCCCTCATCTCCACTTTCTACTGAAAATCCCTAGTTTCCTTGAAAGCTCAGCTGAGGAACTACCTTTGACACAAAGCCTTTCCTGATCTACCCCATCTCCAGCTGGTAGTGCCTCCCCTGCAAATCATCTTGCATTTTTGTATGGATTTTATACACACACACACACATACACACACACACACACACACATGTTGTTGTTCAGTCATTTTTCAGTAATGTCTGCCTCTTCATGACCCCATTTGGGGTTTTCTTGGCAGAGATGCTGGAGTGGTTTGCCATTTCCTTCTCTAACTCATTTTACAGATGAGGAAACTGAGGCAAACATAGTGAAGTGCCTTGCCCAGGGTCACACAGAGAGGAAGTGTCGGAGATTACATTTAAACTCAGGAAGATAAATTTTCCTGACTCCAAGCCCTGCACTCTATCCACTGTGCCACCCACCTGATACACACACACATATGTTATCACGTAAACTTCCTATTATGTCCCAAAGTTATTAAACTGCGCACGCCCAATGACCCAGCAATACCAAAACCAGGCCTATACCGCAAAGAGACCAAAGGAAGAAGAAAGGACCCATATGTACAAAAATCTTTATAGCACCTTTTTTATACAGCAAAGTACTGGGAACTAAGAGAGTACCCATAAATTAGGGAATGGCTGGAAAAAAAAACTATGGCACATGGATGTAATCGAATACTATTTATCGTGTTATAAGAAATGATGATGGGAGTGGTTCCAGAGAAATCTGAGGAGACTCCTATGAATTGCTGCAGAGTGAAGTGAGGTAAAGCCAGGAGAAAAATTTATATAATGATATTGTAAAGAGAAACATCTTTGAAGGACTTAAGAACCCTGATTTATGCAATGACCAACCATGATGCCAGAGGACTGATGAGGAAGCGTGCTCCCTACCTCCTGACACAGAGGCGGATAGACTTAGCACACAGAATGAGACATGGCCAATTGGAGAATTTATTTTGCTTGACTACGCATATTTGTTAAAAGGATCTTGTTTTAATTTTATTTTTTTCCCCAATGGGAGATAAGGAGGCAGGAGGGAGAGAAAGAGATTTTTTTAATTAAAGAAAAGAAAATTGGAAATTGAGGGTGGGGACTCAGCACCAAGCACAGAACCTGGCATAGAGCAGAGCCAGGGACAGTGACTGGACCCATGATTTCATCGGTATGGACAATTCTCAAAGGAGGAAATTCCCTCTCCCAAAGCGAGTTGGCACATCCCGACTCAGAATTTTAGAGTTTCCCAGGACCCTGGTAGATGAAGAGACTTGCCTGGTGTCATAATTTACATGGTCAGAAGCCAAACTTGACCGCAGGTCTTCTAGATGCCCCACTGCCCCTCCCCAAGTTCACAGCGCTTTTTTTTTTTTTCAGTATCTGTTATACAAACCGGTCATCTCACCAGACTTCAGCAGCTGGATCTGAGCTACAATGACAGCATTTCAGATGAAGGCTGGGCTACGTTTAGTCAAAACGCTCTGCTCTTGAAGGAACTGACCGAGTTGGACATCAGCCTTCGGCCAGCTAACTTTCGGGAATGTGGACTGTGGTTTGGACACTTGCTAAGTGGTTTAACCAAAATGCCCATGCTCTCTGAGCTTGGAATCCAAAGATGGAGAATCCCTGCGCCTCAGCAGGAAGACCTGGAGCGTTTCAACCGCAATCACAAAAGAAGCATTCACTTTGACTACGGAGGATTCCAGTGACATCTGTTATCCCAGGGCTAAAAAAAAAAAGCCTCTTCTATTAACAATAATAATAACTCATCATTATTTATATGGCACTTGGAGGTCTACAAAGCACTTTCCTCACCCTGACTCTGGGAAGGATGTCGTGCAATTATTCTTCTGCCTTCTGAGGCTCAGAGCTAAAGTGACTTTCCCGTGGCCACAGAGTTAGGTTAAGGAAGACCTGAGTTTGAATCCTGCTGTGTGACCCTAGACAACCCACTTTAAAACTCTCTCAGCCTTGCTTTCCTCATCAACAAAATAGGGATAATAACAAAAGCATCCCCCTCACAAGGTTATTATATTAATAATAATAATAATAATAGTTATCTATCACTTTAAGGTTTACAAAGTACTTGACATACACTAACTCATTCACTCCTCTCAACAACACTGGGAAGTAGGTGCTATTATTATCCATATTTTACAGATCAGGAAACTGAGGCACAGAGGGGTTAAGGAAACCCTGGTTCTCTGGCTCCAAATGGAATACTCTTTGCACAACAGCACACTGTCTCTCAGACAAATTATTAGATTTAATAAAAAAAAAACATGGCATACAGACCAGGAAGGTGATGGTCTTGCCATGGACTCTACCCTCTTCAGAGCAGACCTGATATTTTGAGGTCTTACGAAAAAATACCAACAAGCTGGAGGGATCCAAAGGGGGGTGACCAGGATGGTAAGAGGGCTGGAAATCAGCACGGTGAAAGTCATCAGGGATTTTAGCCCAGAGGGAAAGAGACCGTTAGGAAATACACGACTGTTGACTTCAAAGATGAATGTCAAGGACTGTCATGTGGATGGAGAATTACACTTCTACTTGGCCCCATAGGGCTGAACTAAGAACAGTGACTAGAAGATTCAGTGAGGTGGATTTAGGGTGGAGATGAAGAAAACCATCCACACAGAGAAAACAAAGTGGATGAGGAATCCCTGTTGTCAGGATTATGACGTGCAGATAGACAGGAAGCCGAGAGGGTTTGTTTAGCAGTTCGTGTGGCTTGGATGGATACTGAAAGTGGACGACAAATTGGGTCCAGAATTAAATAAGGAAGAGGACTGCATGACTTTCATGAACTGGAAAGTTTCTTTAATGACTCCAAACATCTTACAGAAACAAAGGTCAGTTTTGTAAAAATACACCTTTAGCCTTCATGATATTAAAAGATGTTAATAGTTAATTTATTTTGCTTTTGCATTACCTAGACTTCCCCCATATTTCCTCTTCTCTCTCCTCCCAGGGAGCCACCCCCTATAACATAGAATTGGCCCATGTTTCTAATACCAATATACTACTATTGTTTTTGGTATGGCTGAGAATGATGGAATACCACTATCTCTGAAGAATTAAAAATGAGTATTACGCAGAGAACTATGTATGAGTATCATTCAGAGTAGGCAACTAGATGGCTCAGCGGGTAGAGTGGTGGGCCTGGAGTCAGGAAGACTTGAGTTCAAATCCGGCCTCAGACACTTATTAACTGTGTGACCCTGGGCAAGTCACTTAACGTTTGCTTGCCTTAATCCACTGGAGAAGGGAATGGCAAACCATTCCAGTATCTTTGCCAAGAAAACCCCATGTTATGTTCCAAAGAGCCACAAAGAGTCAGACATCACTAAACAACTGAATAATAACAAAATTACTCAGAAAGAAATGGAAAGATGCCTGGCGGGTACATCTATAAGGAAGCTACAGCACTTTACAAATAAGGAACAAGGAACAAGAAGGAGGAAGATAAAGGATTTCATCAAAGAATACACAATCAAATAATAAGATGGGCTGCTCACAAGGTGAGACAAGCCACGTATTCACTGGTGTCCTCACAATGTCAAGAGAAAGCGAGAGATTCCCCTCCCATGTTGAATAACTTTTTGTAGCAAAAGTGGACAAGATTCTCACAGGCCGGGCAGACATGGAGGGGTGGCAATCTGCACTGTCGGACCGAACGTCCACATAGAAGGATCACGTAACCACTTGAATATTGAAAGTAATGAAAAGCCATAGTTCCAGAGGACGCATGATGAAACATGTTCCCCACCTCCAGAGAGAAAGGGGATGGCCTCCGAGGGCAGATTCAAGCATATGTGTTTTATCTAATGCAGGAGATTGTTTTGCTTAATTATACTTATCTGTAACGGGCTTGCTTTTCTTGCTTGCGATGGGTGGGGGAAGAAGAAAATCACAACTGAAAATAAAATTGAATTTTTTTAAAAATGTAAAGAAAATAAAAAGAAAATTTTTTTAAAAATTGCTAACAGAACTGTTCCAAACTAGAATGACCACACCATGGAAGCAGTGGCTCCCCCATATCTGGATACCTTTGAGTAAGGATTGACCAACCATTTAGGGGCGATATTCTAAGGGGATTCTTCATTTCATGGTACAAGTCACACCAGATAGTCCTAGAGATTCTGTCGAGAAATCTGGGATTCCACCAATCTTACTATGTAAGAAAGTCACACTGAGTCACACTGTCATAAATTTGTCACTCAAAGGGACCTCGGAGGTCTAGACATCTAGCCCACCCTCGGAATTTTATAGATGCAGAGGCCCAGCAACTTCCCAAGGTCACCCAGCTAGTAAGTGGTAGAAATAAGATTCAGACTCAGGTCTTCTGACTCCACACCCAGAATTCTTTCTGCTCTATTAGGCTATTCTCCAGGCAGCTGGTGACTCAGGGAATAAAGAGCTGCATCTGCAGTCAGGAAGATCTGAGCTCAAATCTGGCTTCAGACACCAACTAGTTGTATGACCCTGGGCAAGTCATTTTGCCACTATCTGCCTCAGTTTCCTCCACTGCAGCACCTCCCTCATCTAGGGTTGTTGTGAGGATCAGAGATACTATTGGTAAAGAGCTCTGTACATTCTGAAGTGCTATGTAAAGGCACTGTTCTCATCAGCATTATTTAAAGGGACGTGGGGAAGACCCAGAGTCAGAAGCACAATGCACAGAGGCAGAGCAATGAAGAAGAGGCCGGCCTGATCTCGTCCCCTCCATGCAGGCCCTGGAGGAGATCACCCAGGGCATAAAGGCCCGGAGGGACCCTACAGGAGCCAAGAGGATATGTGCGATGGGGGGGGGGGTCGGTCTGTGGAGCTATCTGACGGAGTCCAATATTCCATCTGCAGAGGCAGCCAGCATTATCCTTCTGCTGTCTCATATTTCTCAGTCAGTGGACACTAAGAGCCCAGCTGGGAGCATTGTATAATGTTTATTTATTTATTTTTTTTAATTTTATTTTTGGCTAGGCAATGGGGGTTAAGTGACTTGCCCAGGGTCACACAGCTAGTAAGTGTTATGTGTCTGAGGTCAGATTTGAACTCAGGTCCTCCTGAATCCAGGTTGGTGCTCTATCCACTGTGCCACTTAGCTGTTCCCATTGTATAATATTTAAAAAAAAAAAAGGAGAGATACGTCACTACTTTACAGTCTCCCCAAGGCCTTTCATACAGTGTGGCCCTGAAGTTCAGCAAGGCCTGAACTACAATCTCACTTCCTCCACTCACCTGGTTGTGTGGCCAGGAACAAGCTTCTAACCTCTGCAAACCTCAGTTTTCTTGTCTCTAAAATGGATTTTAGGAAAGTACTGAACCCGGGGGGAAATCATGAAGCTCATAGGAAATAATGTATTGAACATACTTTGTAAACCTCAAACACAGAAATCTAATATGAATGCGAACTTTCATTATTGTATCATTTGAGTCTCACTGTAAACCAGAGAAATCATAGGTGGGCATGCCCATTTTATAGATAAAGATAAAGGAAAAGAGAGGTTAAGTGGCTGTCTGAGGTCACACAATCGGTATAAAGCAAAGCCAGGTCTTAGAATCAGATATCTAGAGCTGGAATGGACCTTAGAAGTCAACTAGAGGGGCAGCTAGGTGGCACAGTGGATGGAGTGCTGGCCCTGGAGTCAGGAGGACCTGAGTTCAAATCCAGCCTCAGATCAGACACTTGACACTTACTAGCTGTGTGACCCTGGGCAAGTCACTTAACCCCAATTGCCTCACAAAGAAAAAAAAAGGATTAAAAAAAAAAGAAGTCAACTAGACCATCACCTCCCATTTTACAAAGGAGGAAAGTGAGGCCCAGACAGATGAATTAACTTGATTTAAGCCACCCAGCCTATCGGCTTGGCTTCAGGCCTTGAGATTACAGATCGAAAGCTTAGATCACAGATCGTAGAAAGAACCTGAAAAGTCAACTAGTTCAACCTCCCTCGTTTTACAGAGAAGGAAGTGACTTGTCCAGGGTCACACAGCCCATGAGTTCCTGGACTCCCAACTCCAGGTCTGACACTCTTTCCACCCGACCACAAGCACAGGGATATTTTCAATAACCAACCCTCCAAAGATCAACCATAAGACTGAGCTTTTTTTATCTAAAAAAAAAAAAGAATGTTTCCCTGGGGCCCATAGATTTTACAGTTACTAACAATGAAGATAAGGCCGAGGAAATGTTATAATAATAACAATAATTAATAATTATAACAATATCTAATATTCATGTAGTGCCAGGCCTTTTATACTTACTACCTCATTTGATCATCACAACAACTCTGGGAGGTAGATGCTATTATTACTAGCATTTTACAGATGAGGAAACTGAGGCAGACAGCAGTGAAGTGACTTGCCCAGCATCACACAGATAATAAGTATCTGAGGTTGGATTTGAACTCAGATCCTCCTGACTCCAAGTCTAACTCACCACCCACCACTCCATAATTCTCCAGTCCAAAGCATTTGAGAAATGCCTCCTCTGTGAAAGCCCCTGTGCTAGACCCCGCAAATGCAAAGAAGAAAATGAAACAATCCCTGCCCTCCAAGAGCTTACAGTCTAACAGGAGACATTTACTAATTAAACCTCTTGGAGACATTCACAGCTAGGATTGGTATGAAAGCTTTTTAATGCTTACCCCCTTGTTCAAGAGTCAAACAGCTGGAGCCTCATCTTCCTTTCTTCCAGCCACGTTCAGGGCATTAGCCATTTTTAAAAGTCCAGCAAGAAAAAAGGATTATTTCTTTTTGCCCTTGGGCGCTGGTTTTGCTTTTTCATTTTTCTTTTCTTTCTTGTCTTTGGGAGATTTCTTTCCTTTCTTTAGCATTTTTAATGTTTCTTCAAACTCTTTCCTCACCCTCACTCCTCTGTACCAAGCCTGAATCTGAAAAGAAAATCAAGTCTGGTATTATTCAACATGACGACCAAGCAGAGAAGTCATAACCTAATCATCTCTTACTTCTAATACACAGTCTTCAAAGCAAAGGGAAGAAAATAGGACCCCATGACATGGCATTCTATCTCCCATCCTGATGCCTTTCCAAAGACTATTCTACTAGGAATATCTACCTGCTGGAATCAATCCACCAGGAAACATTTATTTAGTACTTACTAATTGACAGGCTCTGCACTAAGTGCCGGAAACACAAAGGCAAAAGACCATCCCTGCCCTCAGGACGCTTACAATTTAACCAGGAAAGACAGTTCTTGGTATGGGATAAGAGAACATGGTGGAGAAATCCAGAGGTGTGTGGCCAGATAAGAAATGAAGAGATGGCTAACCTGAGCATCCTCCTTAAATGGAAATCCCGTGAGGGGTGCTCAACCCTCCAATGAGAGACAGAGACAGACAGTAAGACACAGATGAGACAGACAGACAGACAGACAGATACAGAGAGAGCACCCATGGGCAGAGGGGACTGATGAGGCGGGAGTTCCATGGCTGACATGATCTTGTGGGAAGAAGAAAGAGAGATCTAGAGGGAAATATTTACCTGTGTATAATGGCCAAGCTTGTCATAACTCAGTATAACTTTAAATTAAAACAGCTGAGAAAAAAATAGTAGTCAATAGGAAAAATCCTGAGCTCTCCAGAAGCAAAGGTCTAGTCTAGATTTCATATTTCAGAATCCTTTGTGTTCTATAGAGCCTTACTTCTGGGTGATCCAGAGCTCTTCCTGTCGACTGCCATTGAAACTCCCAATATTCCACCCCACCAAGGTATGGAAGATGGTCATGGGGCAGGGGAAGAAATTTGAGAAGAGGGCAGTTGGATGGATGGTCCAAAACCAGATCCTGAGTCAGAGCACAGCTCGGTCCAGGACCCTAGCCTTCAGATGCTTAGTCCAGGGAATCCTTTCCATAAGGTAAGCCCAAATAATGTAATCATATTAAGCTTATCCAGTGTTTAGTAAAGAGCTCGGCACAGTAGACCCTTCAGAAATTGTGGTGACTCACCGACCAAATGATCCCCACAGTAAGCGAGTCTCTGGGAGTGAACAGCCTATAATTCTATATCAACATGTCTACGATTTCATGAACAGCTCCCTCCACTTAGCAAGACAGCAGACTATTCATGACAACGTAAGTCCTGGAACAGGGGATTCTTCACCTTTTTTTGTCATGGGTCTCCTTGGCAGTTTAGTGAAACCTAAGGACCCCTTCTCAGAATAATATTTTCAATTGCAGAAAATAGAATCCATAGAATTACAAAAGAAACCCACTGCATGGGATACAATTTTTAAGAGAAGTCTGTGGATTCTAGCATAACAATCTCTGTCCTGAAGAGCTTCTTGCAGTACCCAGAGGTGAAGTGACTTGCCCAGAGTGACCTGACTCTTCCAGGTACAGGGCCAGGTCTTGCTAACTCCGAGCCCACAACTCTAGCCACCGTGCACATGCTTCTGGGTTTGGACCACACAGGTTCTTCTTGGTTTGTATTTTTTTTTTCTAATTTCACAAACACGTCAGGTCAAGGGAAAGGAGAAGTAAAGGGAAGTGGGAGGGGAGAAGGAGCCAGTAAAATGCTGAATAAGATATTGGGACATCCTCTTGGGCATCTCGCATCCTTCCAAGGAGAATGTCCATGAGCATCTCCCAATATCTGATCCCCGTTCACAAATAAGACTACATGATGTCCCTAGGCCAGGGGCACCTTACCAGGAGTCTGGGAACTTTACAAAAAATACCTTGAGGTCTATATTTTAATATAATTGCTTTCCTTAGTAATTTTACCTATTTTAGGTATTTAAAAACATTTCTTTCAGCAGTGGTCCATAAGCTTCACCAGAGTGCCACAGAGGTCCAGGACACCAAAAACTATTTTCTTTTGGGGAGGGCCTTTCTAGATGTCTAGCCAGATGCTGTGGTCCCAACACACATACACATACACATACACACACACACACACACATACACATACACACACACGAACACGAACACATACATACACGCATACACATGCATGCACACCCATACACATCTATCATTGGGTGTGTCTACTGATTCTACCTTAGTGGCCATAACTTTCGTGAATCTCTTTTCCTGTAAGTAATGCCATATTGCTGGAATGCCCATATCACACACTTCTTCCAAGGGTCTTCCATGGGATTTCCTTCTAGGTTGAGAACCTCAAGGCTCTCTAGACTGTCCATGTTTTCTGGAAGTTCAGACAAGTAGTTGTTCTCAAGAATCAGTGTCTTCAAACCTAAAACACAAGAGAGGATTTACCTTTTCGAAACCAAATGACTGTTAGCAGCCCAGTGCCAGCTCCTTAAATATCACCTTCCTCTATTGTCACCCAGTGAGTTCAATTCAATTCACTTAACATCGATTCAGCACCTGCCACGTGCCAGGCACTGTGCCAGGCGCTGGGAATCAGGAACAAGGAGAGAACTCCTACCTTCAGGATGCTTACTTTCTTTAAGAGACATGGGGGTGGGGGAATGGAAGCCAAGGTTTCCTTTTCAATACAGCAGCATTTACCAGGCCTTGTCACAAGAGTAATTTTCTATTGTACTGGCAGAGCTTGCAGGTGGGGGCATGGGAGAGACGCAAACCTATCTTCTCCGTTCATTCCAGTGAAAGTTTCTAGGATCAGGATAAAGAAGGGCACTTAATTAAGAAAATGGAACGTGCAAAGATGTTCAGATCAAGTCCTGGTCTCTCCATCTCTAAAAATAGGGCAAGTAAAATGAATACTTTGAGAATAAACTCATCAATATCATTACTTGAGTAGAACTTGCATGTCAGGAAGAATTAATTCCTTTCATTTCCTGTGAGTGACTAGTTTGTAAGATTTGGTGTAGAAACCCACCGCAATTAATGTAAACACAGAGACCTAAACATCGTCATAGAATTGACCAACCAGAGGTGAAGTGACTTGCCCAGGGTTACACAGCTAAGAAGTGTCGGGCTGGATTTGAATTCAGGTCTTCCCAACTCCAGGCCTGAAGCTCTTGCTACCAAATGTTTACTGTGAGTGATCTTTTCCTGTGGTTTCATTAGAATGTGAGCTCTTGAAGGTAGGGACTATGTATTTAATATAGTGCCTGGGACACAGGAGTGCTTAATAAAAGTTCACTGATTTGACTAGGCAAAATTATGATGATGAATTTGAAGGAAGTGTTTGTAACAGAAAGTGGATAGGGCACTCAACTTGAAGACAAAGAAACCTGGATTCAAATCCTGCCATAATCACATAAGCTGTGTGACCCTGACTAAGCCATTGACCTCTCTGGGCCTCAGTTCCCTCATAGGGGAAGTGATGGGGTTAGATTCAGTGGCCTCTAACTGCCTTTAGTTCCTTTTTTTTTCTTTTTGGTGAGGCAATCAGAGTTAAGTGACTTGCCCAGGGTCACACAGCTAGTAAATGTCAAGTGTCTGATGCCAGATTTGAACTCAGGTCCTCCTGACCCCAAGGCCAGAGCTCTATCCACTGAGCCATCTCGCTGTGCCTTCCTCCAGTTCTAAATCGAGTATCATTTAATTTGGGTTCAGAAGACCTAGCTCTCTTATTACCTGTGCGACCTTGGGCAAATCCCTGAACATTTCTGGGCCTCAGTTTCCTCATCCATCAAATGAAAGGATTGGGTACTGACATAATGAAATATATGACGTTGGCCTTGGAATAAGGAAGACCTGGGTTCAAGTCCTTCTCGGACACAGAGTGGATGTTTGACCCTGGATAAGTGATCTGATCTCTCATGGCTCTCTCTTGCACAGAAAGTGCCATGGCCTTCCATTGGGAGAAGTCATTTCATCATTCCCCTAGACCAATGAAATCATAGGTTTAGTCCAAAATGGAGATGGGGAGAGGGAAGGTGGGGGGCAGGAGGGAGGAGACTCATTACCTTGTAATTGACATATAGAATCTGGAAGCTCCCTGATCTGATTGTTGTGAAGATCCAGCAGCTGCAAGCTTCTCAGTGAACCTATGCCCGCAGGTAAATACTCGAGGCTGTTATTTTCACAATACAGCTCTTTCAGATTCTGAAATATAATAAACCTTCAGTGTAACAATTCTCAAGTTGATAGATAAATTAATCCCAGAATCATCTACAAGTCCCTTCCCCCTAATATATCCTGATGAAGAAAAAAAAAAACATTAGATCTGCCATCTGATTAGTGTGAAGGGAATGAATGTCTTCATCAATGCCTGGCCCATCTCTTTTTTCTGATCATGCATTTTTCTGATGATATACTCTATGCTGTTTTTACTGAGTAACTGCTTGCTAAGTGTTGAAAAACCCCTGCCCCTCTCCACTGACTTCTGGGTAATTATACATTTTAATTCTTTGGAGAATTTGGAGTGTTCCAAGACTTACAGCCATATAATATTACTTCTACTAGGAAAGATGGCCCTTGTTTTAGAGAGAAGTTTGGGGTCATTAAAAAAATGTTGCGATTTCTCAGAGTCTCCAGCCCCTCTCTGTTTCTGGCTCAATTCTGGGTACAGATCATTGCCCACTTGTAGTATCTATCATAGATAGATAGATAGATGATAGATAGAGAGAAGATAGATAATGGATGGATGGGTGGGTGGATGGATAGATAGATAGGACAGATATCCTCATATCACATACGTATATGTATGTGTACATATATACAGATATATGGATGAATTATATAGATTGTTCATCCAACTACATATAATAATTTCTGGACAATAGATATTCTTCATCCACTTGGTTTTTCTTATATGATTAGGTCAAAATCTCTTGAGTGATTGCAGGCGTCATTACGCTCTGTAATGTTTCAGGATTTGATGCAAATGGCAAAATCTCATCCTCAAAAAAAAGGTAACAATAAGGTCTAAGATTTTTTCCATATCTTTACTATCTTCCCTACATTCCCTCAAAACTGAGTCTTCTCTAACATGGGTTTCCTTAGAGTGGACTTGCCTAGGAGTCACCTGCTTTTACCAGCTTTGTTTTCTTCAATGCTATTTCTACTTCCTCAAGAAGCTTATCTCAGAATGTGGTTTTAGAGTATGAGTACAAGATGGTGGCTCCCTGGTGATGGTGGGAAGAATTTATCATAAAAAATATTGGCAGATCTTTCCCATTTCTTAGTCTTGTTGTTAGGATCAAAAGAGACAGTATTTATAAAGCACTTAGCACAGTGCCCGGCAAATGTTTATTCCCCTCCTTTTTATTTCAGACCAGCAAATTTGTAGGTCATAAGAGGTAAGTGATAGAGAAAATAAGATGGAAAGCCAAGTCATCTTTGATTATGTTTTGACCTTGTATAGGGTGATCCTCTTCTGAATGGAGAGTGGATGATTTTACACCTTGTGAAGGACATACGTTTTTGAATGGGCTCATTTATGGGGAAGGATTCAGTCCCCAGACAAGAAATGGGGGCCAAAAGGAAAGACCAAGGGCAGCTAGGTGGTGCAGTGGACAGAGCACTGGCCCTGGAGTCAGGAAGACCCGAGTTCAAATCTGGCCTCAGACACATAACACTTACTAGCTGTGTGACCCTGGGCAAGTCACTGAATGCCTAGTCAAAAAACAAAAGGGAAGACCAAAAACCTTTGATTTCCTGCCTCCTCTCTTGGAGGTGACAAGCCTCAGGTCTGAGATCCTGAGGGAACAGAATTAGAGAGGCTTCTGACAGTCCTGAGGGTCTCTGCTCTGTCCGAAAGAGCGCAGCAATACCACAAGTAAGGACTATAGCTGAGTCTGAAACTACAGCTGGTGGTGTCTTCAGCTGACCCTCAGGGAGCAGCTCAAGGAGCTGGCAGATTAACCAATCCAGCAGAGACATCATTACCTGGAAGAGAAAGTCCACCTGAGTAAACTGTGCAGCAGAAACACCACGCTCTGTAAGGAGCCAGCCCAGCCTAGGAGTGGGGTAACCCCCCCAACAGAGACACTCTTCTCTGTGAGGAGCAAGCCCAGCCAATTAACCATCTCAAACAGACCCCATGTTCAGGGGTAAATATTATGAAGACAGAAAGCATATTGAGGCCCTGCATTTCCAGATTGTGAGCTGTCTTTGCTACATGTGCTCTCTACACATACGCCTGACTCCCACTGTCTTTGAAGTTTGTGACCACTCTTCCCCCACATATAGTAGGTATTTGTAGGAGGGTGGGTTTCAGGTTTGTAGGGAGAGTGTTTGGTCTATTTTTGCTGTGCTATTTCAGTAAATGCCTTTGCTGAGACCTAATTGGGACAACTGGCTAATCATTAATTGGAAACATACTGGTGGGGGCTCGTGAGCCATAGTTTTGAAATGATGGAGGCACAGGGTGCATACTTGAACCTGACAGTACTGATCTTTTTGGAGGGCCGATCTGTTTGGGCAGCCACTTCAGGGCTTGCTATGATTACATTCGCTGGTGAAATGGGATACTGAATCCCACGCTCGCTCTGTGTATTTTTCTAATTTACTCCACAAGTGTTAGTTTCTTTTTGATTCACTTGACTCTCTATGTAACTGTAAGTTTCTAGGATAATCATTTACTGCACTTCATTCAAACCTAAGGAGCACTGATTTGCTTATCCATTCAGGTTAACACACGCATCTTTTCAGCAGAAATGCTCTCTCAGAGAAGTGCTATGGCTTTGAACTTTGGAACAGCACAATCCCCAAAGAATCCGAGTTGTCAGTGACCCAGGGGACAATGTAGCGGTGAATGGTGGACTCAAGTAAACTGTAGACTATTTCCAACATTGACCTATATATAAGAAGTAGAAGTAGGGATATTATTGAGGAAATACATGATTGAGAAAACAAGGCAGTGCAGCTGCAAGGAATGAGTAGGGGATAACAGTTGGTGTGAATATTCCATTAACGGTGGTGGTGTTCAGTCATTTTTAAGTTATGTCTAACTCTTCATGACCCCATTTAGAGTTTTCTTGGACAAAAATACTGGAGTGGTTTGCCATTTCCTTCTCTAGCTCATTTTATAGATGAGGAAACTGAGGCAAACAGGGCTAAGTGACTTGCCCAAGGTCACACAGCTAGTAAGTGCTGGATTTAAACTCAGGTCCTCCTGACTTCAGGGCCGGTGCTCTATCCACTGCACCACCTAGCTGCCCCAAAACTTGCGTATTTTTGGTGAACATTCCATTATATACGTTTGAATTCATACCGTTAGCTTCAGGATGTTTTCTGAGATATAGGTCAGTTTGGTTCCTTGATCCTGTCCCAGATAAAGTGTTCTAAAGATTCAATTAGCAAGATTTCCTCTGGAAATATAGTGAAATTATTTCCAGTTAGACTAAGTGCCTTCAATTTGACAAGGTTGAACACCTCTGGAGGGACCTAGATAGAGCCATCAAAAAAAAAAAAAAGAGTGAAGTTGTCAAAATTGTTTGAACACGTTAGAAAATCAATAGGGCTTTGCTTTGGAGACAAACTATTACTGATCAACAAAATTCAGAGGCAATTCAGCATCTTCCTGGATGAATCATGCTTGCAAACTCCATGGGATGAGTATGACCAGAACTGGGAATGCATAATAGTCAGTCTCAAAAGTTTATTTATGGCAGTATAAGAGAGTAACCCAGAAAACCTGTGAAAACTTCGTTTTTACAAAACAAAAAAAGTCAGTGAAAACAATTCTTAACCTCCATGCAAACGTATGAAACTTGACGTGGTCAAGCGCTTGAAGATCATGAAATGAAAAATGCTTTTAAAAAAAAACATGCAGTAGTGAGTTGGGAAACTGTGCGTGTGGAATGTTGGGCATACACTGTCAGACATGGCCACTGTGGGTCAGCTGGTTTTTCTTAACTGTCTTTCATTGTCCCAAGAGAGGGCTCATTTGTTGGAGCATGTGTCTCTGGATATGACTCTGATATAAAAACAAAAGGATTAATAATAATTTTTTAAAAAGGTACAGCAGTACAATAGTAGCAGCAGGAGCAGAAGCAGCAGCAGCAGCAGCAGCAGCAGCAGTAGTAGTAGTAGTAGTAGTAGTAGTAGTAGTAGTAGTGGTGGTGGTGGTGGTGGTGGTGGTGGTGGTGTGGTGGTGGTGGTGGTGGTGGTGGTGGTGGTGGTGGTGGTGGTAGTAGTAGATGAATAAATAAGTGAATAGAGAGATGGATGATAGGATAGATAGATAGATAAGTAAATGAATGAATGACGGGTAGGTAGATAGATGATAGGGAGAATAGATAACTGGAGAGATAAATAAATTCCCTTACAGGCTTCTGGTGAAGAATGTCCTCCACCTCCCAATGGTGGCCTGTCTACTTTGGGACAGCTCTACTTGTTAGGAAGTTTTCCCTTTCATCAAGACCAAACCTGCCCTGCCTGTAACTCTCACCCAGTACTCCCCTTCCCTCTAGGGTCAAGCAGAATGAACCTAATCCCTTTTCTATATGATAACCTCTCAAGTATATGAAAATAGCTATTACACCACCATGAATCTTTTCTTTTCCAGGATAAACATAGCTAGTTCCATCAACTGATAACATCTAACATTTACCTAAGGTTTTAAGGTTTGCAAAGCACTTCATAAATAGTATCTCATTTTATTCTCTCCTACAAGTGAGGTGCTATTATAATTCACATTTCACAGTCAAGGAGACTGGGGCACCAAAATAATGAGTGACTTACCTAGGGTTACACGGCTAGTTAGTGCCTAACACTGGATTTGAACTTGGATCTTCCTGACTCCAGGTCCAATGTATTGCCTAACTGCTTAACCCTCACACAGCCTGATGTCCAGCCTCAGGTCACCCCCGCTATAGATGATCTTCGGCTTGCCGATGTCATCTCTAAAATGTGGCACCCAGAACGGAATACAATACTCTCATTATGTTCTGCCTGGAGCAGAATACTCCCTCGTGCCCAGCACTACCAGGTGTCTCGATATTAGCCAACTAAGGCTGCCTTCACTTTGGAAGGTAGACAGCTTGTATCATTGACTCCCATTGACCTTACAATCCTCTAAACCTCTTCCCCAGCCATGGTTCTCCCAAAGTGTACTTGTTGGAGTTGATTTCTTGAACCCTAAGTGACAGACCTTACATTGATCTGTATTAATTTATCAAATATTAATTCATCAACTTGGTGCTTTGTTCTAGCCAGCCAAAGTCTTTTTGAAACCTAACCCTGTCATCCTATGTTTCATTCCCTCGACTTTGCGCCATCTGCAGATGTGATAAGCAGACCACGGAGGGCTATGCTAAAGCCAGCACCTACCAGCTCAGAATTGATCGTGACATTTTGGGGGTGAACATGTGTACCTCAGAAATCAGCAAATGCTACAAAGCAAGGCTGGAATCATTGTTTTATTGATTGTCTAGAACTTCAGAAAGTGATAGAAAAATGTTGATGGAGAAAATGAAGATTAAACTGAAAAGTGTGCGATCCACTTTTTTTTGGAAGATCTGGTTGTTAAATATTTAAATACCAGCACACTTCTAATGCCATGTATGCTATCGGTTAAAAAAACTGTTAGTTGGTTAATAATGTGGTGCTTTACAAACTGCTATGGACACTGAAAACTTTAGTGCTTTAAATACATTGATGGAACCAATGCAAATGCTTATCTGGGAGCTTTAGGATTCTGGAATACTTCCACTAGAAAGAAGGAAACTTTGAAGACAGACAGAAAGAAGGAAAGAAAGAAAGAAAGAAAGAAAGAAAGAAAGAAAGAAAGAAAGCAAGCTATTTTCATCATTTAATCAGTATTCAATCAACAAACACAAATTAAGTGCCTACTCTGTGCCATGCACTATGGTAGGCAGTTGGGGATACGTCCTTGCCCTCCAGGAGTTTACACTCTAATAGAGAAGTAGACAAGTACGTATACAAAATACACACAAGGCAAATAAATAGTACAGAACCTCGGGTGGGAAGGCATTGGAGGCGCAGGACCAGGAAAAGCCTCATGCAAAGGAGGCCTTTGGGCTGAAGATGGAAGAAAAAGCAGGGATTCCAAGAGGAAGACCTAAAGAGGGTGTGTATCCCATCAGGCAGTGACTGAAGCAAAGGTGCAGAGGAAGGAATCAGAGGAAGATGGCGCTGTGGTTGTGAAACTGAGCAAAACTAGAAGGATTCTGGTACCCGCAACAGAAGCTGGGAAGTTGAGAAGAGGGACAGGTTTGGAAGCAAAGAGAATGAGTTTTGTTTTAGACGTGATAAGCTGGAAGTGCCTCCAGGATTTCCGTTGTGCAGTTGGTGATTCAGGACTGGAGGGCAAGAGAGAGATAGGGACTGGACACCAAGGTCTGGGAGGCATTTACACAGAGAAAGTCGTTGAATCCATCAGATGCTGATAGATGTAGAGAAAGAAGAGGACCCAGGACAGAGCTTTTGAGACAGACATCACTATCCAACTCTAAATAATTTCATATTCAGTATTTCAGCAATTCAATGCCTTGGATCTTTTTTTTTTTAAAGCAAGAAATATAGTTCTGAACCTGTAACTTACAAACCAAACCTCATGGGCCATAACTGACCGCTACTGCAAATGCTTAATGAACAGAATCCTTTGGTAGGGGCAAGAATCCCCCTTCACCTACCTCTTTTCCACAGGTGAATTTTCATCTATTCATTTTCAGTCAGCAAGGAAAGCCAGACTGAGAGCCTACAAGCAGCCTCGTGACAGAAGAGAGGGAGATGATGTCTAGTGGAAGAAACTGAAAATCACAGAGCTCGGGTTTCAATCTGAACTCTGTCAGGCCTCAGCTTCCTTCTCTGTAAAATGGGGGTGGGGTGGGGTGGGGTAATACCGTCCCCCCCCCCCCCGGCGCTGGAACAGTGAGGGGGAGGTAGTAGCCTCGGGTGCAATTGTATACTTAATGTGAGACGTCTTTCCTAGTTTGTAAGGTTTCCGGGGGGGACGCTGACTAATTTTTGTTAAAGGGGGCAGTAGGCCAAATAAGGTTGGGAACCTCTAGATGACCCCTGAGGGTCCCTTTCAGCCCTAGATTAACCATACAATAGATCTGGCCATGGCGTTATGAGTGCAGCCCCTTAGAGGTCCTAGGAAAGTGGGAAACGTGTACCTGACAAATGCGATTGTCATCCAGGGACAGTATCTCCAGGTTTTTCAAAGCGCAGACCTCGATAGGGAAAAAATCAAAGTAATTCTGGCTCAGATCTAAGAGAGTGACATTGAGCAGGCGTTTGAAGGAGCGGCGCAGGGTTTTCAGACAGGTGTTCTTCATGTACAGGAGATGGAGTAGCGTCCACTTGCAGATTAGCCTGGGCACCTTCTCCAGGCAGTTCCCCGAAAGACCCAGCTCAGTAATTTCGGTCAGCTCTTTGAGGGTCGAGGGGAGGTTGCGCAGGAAGTTATAGGAGACGTCCAAGATCGTTAGCTTGCTACAGCTGCCCAGAGTGTCCGGGAGGTAGGTCACACAATTCGAAGCGATGAAGAATTTCTCCAGCTTGGTGAGCGCGCTGATCTCGTCGGGGATGACCGCGATCTGATTTTGCTCCAAGTCTACGATCTCCAGGTTGTAAAGGACGCAGAGCTCCTGGGGAAATTCTTCAAACCGGTTGTCCTGCAGGTAAATCTCCCTCAGTTTGGTCTGATTGACGATTTCTTTGGGCAGAGCCTTCAGCCTGTTGTGAGACAATCCCAGCAATTCCAGATGGTGCAGGCACTTACACACCTGGATGGGGAAATGCTCCAGGTGAATTTTATAAAGCCGGAGCTGTCGAAGGGCCCGCAGATGGGAAAGGACAGGCAAAGTGCTGGGAATCAGCGGGTTGTTGCTAAGGTCCAGACTTTGAAGATTAGTCAGTTCCCCGAGGTCTTTGCAAAGAAATCTTAGGTTATTGTTGTTCAGGTAGAGAATCTTTAGGTTGGTGAGATTACGGATGTCTTTAGAAATCCCCTCAAGCACATTATTTTCCAAGTGCGCTTCTTCCAGTTCCCAAAGTTCCAGGAGGGAAGATGGGATAAAGGTGAGATTTTTTTTAGAAGCATCCATGAAATATTTTTTGTCTCCAACTCTTTCTGGTGGGGGTTCTGCAGACTTTGATAAGGTAGTTTTTTGTTTGTGGGACAAAAGTTTGAAGACTTGGTCTGCAAACATCTTGGTAGCAGGATTAAAAAGCCCAAATATTCAGAATCTAAAGCATTGTAAGACAAGAAAAACAAATCAACAAACAAGCAGAATTTAGCTTTCAGTAGACTTCAAAAGTAGCTTTCTGGACTCCCTTCATCCTTTCAGTGACAGAGGATTCATTGTGTGTGGAATAGAGCATTGGATGGGGAATCAGGAAGACCTGAGTTTGAATTCTACCTCAGAAAACTATATCTGAGTGCATGAGTTGTGTTTACCCCTCTCTCAGCCTCAGTTTCTTTATCTGTAAAATCGCCTCACTCTCTCAGGACCAAGTGGGATAACATGGACAGTGCTTTGCCTGCCTTAAAGCACTAAATATTATTAATAATAAGTTATACATTTATTTATATTTATAACATTAAATTATTTATTAATAAATATAAATTATTATTATTATTATTATTAGCTTCAGAAAGCAGTCCATTCCGTTTTTTGACAACTCTAATGTTTAAGCACTTCTCCCTTTTTGTGCATTCTGTTTGGCCAAAAGCTGCATTCTTTTGACTTGCTCCCATCTGTTCCACTCCTGACCACTGAGCTACGTGAAAGAATATTTCTCTATATCCAAACATAAAAATACAGCTTTCATGGCACTTCCCTCCATGCGTTCTATAGTGATAGGGACAGGACTTGTAATTTCAGATTTCTGGCCGCGTGCTGCTCCACACACACTTGCAATGCTTTTCCTTCTCATCTCCACATCTTGGGACCTTCTACCCCTTCAAGGTTCCACTTAGTGCCACTTCTATCTAGATACCTTCCTAATAGTTGTTAAAACTCAAACCCCCTCCCCCCTAAAAAAATTCTGTTGTATTCATTTTTTGCTTACATTGTATTTACTGTTGTATGAACAGGTCATATCCAACCTTAGGGATATTTTTGTCTTTTCCCAGAATTTAGCACACTGACTGGCATACAGTAGGTGCTTAATAAATGTTCCTTGAATTACATTGACTTAAATGTTAGACAAAGTAAATTTAAATTCAGCCCACTGGCTAGATTGTTAAAATCATAGTAAGTCAGAGAATTTGATTTTGTGAGGTTAACTGTCAGAAAGATGATGGATCAACGAATTAAAATTCAATAAATATTTATTAGGGCCTAATTATATATGTACAAAAGCAGCTATGTGGCACAGTGGATATAGTCCCAAGGCTGGAGTCAAAAAGACTCATCTTCCTGAGTTCAAAACTAGCCTCAGACACTCCCTAGCTATGTGCCCCTGGGCAAGTCACTTAATCCGGTTAGCCTCAGTTTCTTCATCTGCAAAATGAGCTGGAGAAGGAAATGGCAAACCACTCCAAGTATTTTTGCCAAGAAAACCCCAAATGGGGTCAGACAGAGTCAGACATGACTGAAAAATTACTGAACTAACAACGATATACAAAGGACTGGGTGAAGTGTTGGGGATGCAGGGACAACAATGATCCAACCCCTGTTCCCAAAAACAATCTATGGGGGTGAGTAAAGAGAGATGGTATGTATGCTGATGAGTATAAACAAAGAAGGAATTAGAAAGGGCAAAGGAGATAGACATCCAGAAAAAATGAGCTGGGAAAATTTTAGGAGAAAAAATCCTTTCAGCCAAGCCATCAAAGAAAGATACACAGTTTTGGTGGCACCTGAGTGGGGCCTTAAAGAGGAGGAAATAAACATTTCGATAGCACCTACTGTGTGCTAAGCACTTTACAAATATTATTTCATTTCACCGTCACAACAACCCTGAGAGGGAGGTACTGTTATTATCCCCATTCTACAGGTGAGAAAACAGAGGCAAACAGAGTGACTTGCCCAGGTTCACACAGCTAGATAGCACTTCAGATGGTGAAGCACTTGCAGACGGTGACCACCCTTGGGTGATTCACCAGGACCAGAAGATTGCAAAGGTCAGTTCTCTTCTATAATCAATGGAGAAATTAGTCTTCCCACCTTCCCCTCATTAATGTATACGGAAGCAGCTTCACTTCTTGCGTGTCTCTGGGCACTTGTTCTACTCCGACCGCCCGTCAGCACCTCCCCTCTCCTTCCACCAGAACCTAGAGCTCTGGCCCTGCGCCCACTTATTTTGCCAGGGCCTCCACACCATTTCCTGGCCTGAGTCCCTGAGCAGGTACTCTCCCACGCTCCCTCCTTTCCAGAATTCCTTTGTGTGTGGTCTTCAGAGTTAGAATGGAAACTCCCTGAAACTGTCTTCCTTTCTTGTATTGGTATCACAGGTGCTTAGGTGAACAGTAAGTGCTTAATAATTGCTCCAGCTCTCTGCCTAGCTATCATCTCTCCAACTACCATGCCACCTATCTCTCTCCCCCGTCCTCTATCTGAATAGCTATCAACCTCGGTATTTATCTAGCTAGCTATCTCTGAATAACCATCCATCTCTGTCTATCCATCCATCCACTCACCCATCTGTCCAAATATCTGCATATATCATGTATCAGGTATCTCTATTTTTATCCATCTATTGTCTACCTACCATTATCTATATCTATCCATCCATATCTATCATCTATCTATATTTATCAATCATCTGTCCATATCTATCAATCATCTGTCTGTATCTATCCATCCATCCATCCATCTCTCATTTAGCTAACTGGGGTTCTTCCCATCATCATGCCTCAAATCTTAAAGCCTATGTAAATGTTACAAATTGTAACTCAAATCAGTCAACAAGCATTGATTAAGCACCTGCTGTGTGCCAGGCACTATGCTAAGTAAGCACTGGGGGATACAAAGACAAAAAAAAAGCTCCTTTCCTCAAGGCCTTTACGTTCTCACGGAGGAGACATGTACACAGACGATTAGAGTCCATACAAGATGAGCACAAAGCAGATTTACAAGAAGATGATTGGCCCATTCATCGGGCTGCTGCTAGGGGGTACAGTATACAAAGAGTTGGGGCTAGAACCTGGGAGATCTGAGTTCAAATTTGACCCCAGGCATTAACTAGCTCTGTGTGACCCTGAGAAGTTATTTACCCTGTTTGCCTCAGTTTCCTCTTCTGTAAAATGGGGCTAAAAGGGTAGTGAGTATTAAGTGAGAGAAATACTTGCAGGACAGTGCCTGGCACATAGTAGGTGCTCTACACGGAGAGCTCTAGCCATCCCTATCACACCGCATAAGCATAGCTCCATTACTTAATCACTTTCCATTTCCCAGAGTTCTAAGACCGCTCATCCTCCAAGCCTCTGCCAATTCACCCACACCGGCGGGGAGATTCGATCCCGTGGCCTGTGGGAGCGAGCGCTGTGCTCTGCACCACGAGGGCCCCCCCCAAAAGGGCGCCCGCCCGCCCGTCGCCCGCGGCTCCCCCTGCTGGTGGTGGCCAGGAGCCGTGCACGACGCCCTTCCTTCCCCACGTTCTCCGGGCCACAGACCCGGTTAAGGTGGGGCTGGGGGTGGGGGTAGGAGTGGGGGCGGGGGCGGGGGCGGGGCGCGCGCCTCTCTTCTCTTTCATTCGCTCGCCTGCTCCCCTCCCCCCAAGAACTGTAACAGGCTGGTGCGCAGGCTCAGTGCTCAGGAGGAAGTACTTGTGGGAAGAGCCTCTGCAAGCAGGCGGTGGGCGGGACACCAGGACTTGCAGAAGGAGCTGGCCGTGGGGCCTCGGTAATCCCCGCATCCGCCCCGGCCACGCTAATGGGCACACGTGGCTCCGCCCCTCCGGGGGGGGGAGTTGGGGGTAGAACGGAGAGAGCGTGCGACCGCCGGGTTGCCATAACAACCGCCCGTTTTCCGGCGTCCCCAGAGCGAGCGTAGCCACGCGCCTCCACCAGCTCCTGATAGGCCTGGGAGAAGAGAGCGCGGCCTCCGCTAGGGGGCGGAGCGGAGTCACCGCGCTGTTGCCATGGAGCCGGGCAGCGGAGGCTTGTCCCTGCAGGCAGAGAAGGGAATGGAGATCATTACCTCCTTCACCCCCCTGCCGATAGCCGGTAGGTAGAGCGCGGAGCCGGCCCGGCCGGGGTGGGGGGCGGCGGGGAGGGGCGAACAGTTGGAGACCTTGACCTCACCCTTAGCGGAGACTTTGCTCCTCCTCCGCCCTCCCCTCGGCAGAGCACCCAGTAGCTGCTTAATAAATGCAGGTGCCGGATGGTGCCGGACTCGCTCAGGGATGCGGTCAGGGTCCGGCTCCGAGCGGGGATGGCCCAAGCGTCCGGAGGCAGCTGCCAACACCCCGGGCTCTCAGGACTCGTGTGGCCCCGGCCCCGTGCCTGGCTCCGACGGGACCCCTCCTGCCTGGGGTGGGGGGCATTTGGCCCTCTGTGATCTCACCGGGAGGACCCCTCCCCACCCTCCGGGCTGGCCAGCCCCGGTCCTGCTCCTTCCTCATCTGCTGCATGTTCGCATTTTTGTGTCCCCAGCACCCGCTGTGCCGTGTGGTTGAGTGCTTCATAAATGTTTATTAAATTATTTAATTAAATGTCATATTATTGAAAAGAAGGCGAAGCTGTTAAATAGGGGAGAAAACTCTGGACGGACAGCGTAGACTGTGAGTGAAAACCGAAACTGACCTTTCACACACTCATTATGAGCAGGCATCTATGAGTCGCCTGTTGTGTGTCAGGCCCTGTGCTAAGGAAGTGCTTACTCGAATGAAAAGGCTGCAGGGGGTGGTTAAAAAAAATGGCCTGGAAAGACCTGGGTTCAAGTTCTGACTTTCACGTACCGGGCTCTATTAACCTCCCCCCAACCCCGTGGCAACACTTCTGTCAAACCAGATTAAAGTGTAGTTGAGAAATATTTAACAAAATACATTAAAAAACAGTAGACCCAGGTAATGTGGTTTTCTAAATCAGTACGCAAACTGTTTGGTGCCGCCATCGCAGCTCTAGGTAACACTGGGACGGCTCCAAGGGTCTAGAGAGGTTACAGAGTGCCAGCCCGCACCGGGAGAGGGAGGTGCTTACCTGGAAGCTCCTCATTCCCCCGCAATCACAGACCCAGCCCCCAGCCTACTTCCTCGTCTCTGCCCATCCGTTACTTTTCTTAAAACATGACAGGTGGGTTTTGTGTCAGGGAGTCACTTGGGGTCCTTGAAACCTGCGGCTTCCAAATGCGGTCTGACCTGCTCTGCTTCCTTGGTCCTCAGCACCGAGCCCTGTCCGCCCTCTAGGCCTGGCCAGGACTTTGGTGCTGATGTCTGCCAGGCAGGATAGGTAGCCCACCCAGAAGGCCTCCCGCTGAGGAGGCTGGAGGAGGCAGCACCGGGGCGTCCTCCCCGAGGGGCTGCTGGAGAAGGTCCCCACGGGGAGAGAAGCCTCGTCCCTCCGGCCTCCGGGGGTGGGCCCCTTAGGCCAGAGCCTGGGGTTTGAGAGTGATCATCAGGGTCATTCCACCAAGTTATCTGATGGCTAATCATACAGAAGTAGCACGCACAGTTAAGATGAAAACTCCACTCACTCCACGTTGATGGGGCGTCAATCAGTCGATGGGCATTTATGAAGCATCTACCACACGTGCCAGGCTCTGGTAATACAAAGAATGCATAGAATTAAAACAACCCCACCTCCGCAAAACCTCAAGTATCCATCAGCCCCTCCGTACCGGGGTGGGTGTGACAGGGACCTGTGCACACCTATGGTGGCAGGACTCCTGACTGGCTGGAGGGCGAGGTCGATGAGGCAGGAGGAGGAGAAGGTGGGAACGCCCAAGGATGAATAGGGGGCCCTCAGAGCCTTTGGCTTTGGGGAGGAGACAGCCCCCTGCCATATACCTAGACCCCCAGAGACTAGGAAGAGGAGGAGCTAAGATTCCATCTCTCTCCCCAACTTTTCCCTGTGTATCCTAGTGGCTTCCCCTCCAGCTTATTCCTTGCTCTGAGAAATGTTTGCTCACTATCTGTCTTTTAGACCTCAAGTGTATGAGGAGAAGTGGAGCCTACAATGTTACCCTCCAGGTCTGGGGCATAACTACTTCTCCCACATCTTTCTTCCCCAGCGTTGTTCTGAGAAGGGGTCCATGGGCTTCAGCACACTAATCACCCAGGAGGTCCATGGCGAGACACCAGATGCAAGGGCCCCCCCCCCTTGTACTGCTCCAAACTGAGAAGTCAGTCAAAACTTTATTTAGTAGCTGTGTGACCCTGGGCAAGTCACATAACCTCATTGCCTAGCCAAAAACAAAAACAAAAATACTTTATTTAGCATTTACTATGTCCCAGGCACTGAGACTGAAAAAAAACCAGAAAAACAAACTCCTGTCCTCAAGAAGCTTATATTCCAAAAGGGCAGACGTGTGTGCTCATTCCCACCCTAGGGAGGCAGAAGTGAGAAATGGACCCCACGAACCTTCTTGGGAGTAAAGTCTTACACACACACACACACACACACACACACACACACACACCCCTTTGGGTGGTGAGGCAGAAGGGACTTGAAGAAGCCGTGGCAGCATCCACTGGTGGCAGCTCTTGGAGGGGCTGTTACTTATAGGACACGAGCAACCCTTTGAGAGAATGGCATGAACACACTGGTCTCATTCTACGACAAATATTCTCCATCTTAAGTCACGTTACTATTAATGGGCTAACAAGCTTTTGTTCATCAGTCATGCAGAGGAAACACTGTCCCTGCCAAACTTCTCTTAATTGAGATGTCCACGCTCCTTGCACCTTTTTAGGTCCTGGACCCTTCGGCATCTAGTGAAGCCTATGGACCCCTGATCAGAATAATGTTTTCAAATACATAAAATACATGAAATTATAAAGTGAACCCTCTATCAAAGGGAAGATACATTTTTTTTCCTCACCCAAGTGTACGAACCCCCTGAAATCTGTCAGTCAGTGGACCCTAGGTTAAAAACCCTTAGCCTAATCTCATCTCCCATTTCCATTATTTTAGCTTCCAGAGTAGTGGAATGGTGCCTGTGCTTGACTCCCAGTTCCCTAAAAGAGTAGGGAATGTAGACATATAGATGTCATACTTACAGATCTCCAGTAGACCGGCCGTCCCATTGAAGAGCCACAGGTGTTGAACATGCTTCTGAATGGTCCTTGTGCCAGGAAGTATCCTTGGATTTGTTTCTTTATAGTTTCAACAGCATTCGCCACTCTCCCACGTGATTATTTGGAGGTGTGTGAACGTTTTGGTCGGAATTACAATCCTTTTGTATATCAAGTACTCCAGCTCCTAGAAAAAGAATATAGAAAAACTAATAAAAGGTAAGAAAAAATACCACATTATGTCTCTGTTCTCTGAAAATCATCCCCATAGAAATTTGAGAGATTCTACAGTCATTTAAAAATTCATTAGAAGTTGGACACATCTTTTAGGTATATGTCAGTAACAACTTAAAATTTTGGAGGCAGAGTGCATTGGCTTAGAACTTAGTCCCTAGCTCATCCCTGTTTTTCTGGCCTTGGGTAAGTCTCTCAAGCTTTGTGAGACTCAGTTTCTCCATCCGTAGGCTAAGAATGCTGTCACCCTCTGTTGTAAAGGTCAAATGAGAAAATGCATGTGATAGTGTTTTGAAAACCACAGAGCATTGTACAGATGTTAGCTTTCACTGCTCTTACTTCCTGTCTTACCCGGCAAGACTGACACTTGCCCCCCGTGGATGAGACTATTTACACTCACCTTTGTACGTGAACAAAAACTATATTGATTTCTTTACGGAGCTGCTTCGTTGTACTTTAACATATTTTTTATATTCAGATTTGAAGATGAATTCACAGTAAAAATAGCTGGTAATAACCGCTTAATTCCAGTACAGAGACTCACTGATGATGATTTTGAAATGCTTATCGATACCTTAAAACCACATTACAATGTTACAGGTATTGGTTTTAACTTAATCATGTCTTCCTGTCTTCAGAATTTAAGTATCATCAAGGTGGTCAGTCACGTATTAATTTGTGTCCCTTAGGTTTGGACGTTAGATACAACCTCTTAACTGATGATGGGGCGAACCATGTTGCAGAACTGCTTGAGGTATTGCATTATTTTGACTTCTAACATGTTTGTTTTGCTTATGGTGGTACGCACCACTTAGTCTTAACAGGCTATGCAGTCTTTCCAGAATTCCAGGAATCTTGTCCTTTGTGGCCACATCTGAAATCTCAGATTACATTTTGAGACGTTTTGAGTGTATCTAGTATCAGAGAGCACAGCTTTCGGGGAGAATATCGGAGTCACCTATTGCAAGCTCCTTATATCTCATAGCGACAAGAAGTGCCACAAGACACAACATACAGGTGGCTAAATCATCATTCAAACTACAACTGCAGTCTTCCTCTTTCAACCCCGAGCAGTTACTTCCCTTCTTTTGCCCTCCATTCCCTCATCTTGACAATCTCCATAGTAGCTGTGATTAGGTTTAAATTGAGGTGCTGGGCTTCTTACATTTTTCATGGAATTCAGCTGAGCACTGTACCAGCTGTGTTTCTTTTCAGTTGTCAAGACTTTCTTGGAGAAAACTCTTTCTTTATAAAACAAAATAAATTAACCTCTCTTTAAAAAAGTGCCCTCCTGGTGGAACTCCAGAGACTTCTCAGCGACAGCCCCTTTTCCCTCTTCGTTACAGGAAGTCCAAAGTCTCACTTACCTCAATCTTATGTTTAACGACATCAAAGCTGATGGGGCAGAAGTGATAGCCAAAGCGCTCCATGTAAGTATCACCTGTTGGTAGCCTTTACCCCTGGCCACAGCACTGAGAGCCCTGCTCTTTTTTTAATGGGGTGCAAATTTGTATTTTGTGTGTGCATTTCAGGGAATCGAGGAGATTCTTTCCTTCTTCAGGCCTTGCAGGTTCCTTGGACACTTTGGACTTTGTTTGCAGTGAATCATTTACTTTTATACATGTTGGCATATGGGGGGGGTGGAAGGGAGTGAGGTGGCTAAGACTGGACTGTTCATTTCATAACTATAAGGAGCATCTTCTCTGTGATTTGTGGCCTGGGACACAGAGATAAAGCCACTAACCCAGGACCTTAAAGTCATTCTCTATCAGTACCTCCAAGGTGAGCTCTCTGTTCAGGACAGCACACCAGTTTCAGTAATCTACTCATTAAAACTATAAAATATCTGGAGGTAACCTTGCAGAATATTTATGGAAATTATCAAACACAAGTTGTATGGAATTCCTCAAAGTCAAGAAATAAAATGTAGGGGCAGCTAGGTGGCGCAGTGGATGGAGCACCAGCCCTGGATTCAGGAGGACCCGAGTTCAAATCTGGCCTCAGATACATAACATGTACTAGCTGTGTGACTGTGGGCAAGTCACTTAACCCCATTGCCTAGCCCCCCCCCCAAATGTAAAAGTGGAGCTTCTACGATTTCTGACCACCGAAATGCCATGATGGCCTTCAGTTTTGTGATCTCCCTCTAGGTTTGGTGGTGATGACTTAGAGCCATGGTATCCAGCTCAGAGAGGGCCCAACCCTTCATCCGACAGGGCATCTAGGGGCTAGGGCTGTCCAGTCAAGAGCAAGAAAACCTGGATTCAAACCCCGAGCAGTTACTTCCCTTCTTTTGCCCTCCATTCCCTCATCTTGACAATCTCCATAGGCCCTTCCAATTCTAAATCGATGCTCCTATGAACTGAAGGCTGAGAAAGGCTTCGATGACTTACCCAAGACCACTTTGCACAGCTGTTTCTGATGAGTAGAAACCATTAGCCAAACAAGCTGTCATCATTCAGATGAATGTGCATATTTCTATATTAAAGATCCCTGTATTTTTCAAATAATTAAGACAAACCCTTTAAAGGGAATTCTGTAACTTAAAACACGTAAACATTTAACTTTTGACATTTCTTCCTGCCTAGAGAAACAGAACTCTCAAATATCTCAGACTGACTGGGAACAAGATTGGTAATATAGGCGGAATGTTTTTTGCCACAATGCTTCAAATTAATTCATCATTAGAGAAGTTAGATTTGGGAGACTGTGATCTGGTGAGTAAAGCAGCACTAATTTATTCAAGACTAAATTACAGCCACATCTGATCATTAGGAAAGTCGGCACATGTATTAGTAGAAAGAACAAAGAAACTTCTTTAAAGATGTCTTTGCCGACTACTGCTTGTTCTGGGCAGGACTGATTCCATAGCGGCCAGTTGTGTCCAGTTCCACGACAGCTGCCAGAGAAAGGGACCCAGTCGGAGCACCTGAGAGACTGCCCCCTCCCCACCTCCTCCTCCTGTCCCTCGGCTGCGTCTTCTGGTGCGGCCTCAGTTGTCTGGGTTGCACTTAGCCATCAGCCTTGAGCCTGGGAAGTTCCCTCCAGTTCAGGGTGGTCCAGGAGATCAGACAAGGCCATTCAAAGGTGGGGCACCCTTGAGATAGGATTTATTGTGATGAGCCTGAGAGCAAGTATCCAGGGACCTCCCAGTTTGAACCAGCCCCTTCATCCTGCTCTACCGGCATCTTCTAGCTCAGCACATCTGAATCGGGGAGGATGTAGAAGGGTCAGTCCCCAGGACCTAGAAAAGCTCCACTCATAGAGAGCTAACTAAGCCTGAACAAGTAGGCAGCTGGCTAGTCTGGCTGTGCCATCACCTTGACCCGGATACAGTCTTTTCCTTAAGCATCAGTTTTTTATTCTGCTTCATGCTTCATGTAATTAAAAAATCGTATCTTTTCTCTGGTAACTCAGTAAGAATTCACTTATTTTCACTTATTTTCAGGAGATGCAAAGTTTGATAGCAATAGCAACTGTGCTAATTAAAAACCAATCAATTAAAGGGATAAACTTAAACCGCCCTATCCTGAAGAGTGAAGAGGTATGTACCTGTTTAGTAGTTCATTAAAATAATACTGTATTAACAAAATGTTGAAAGTTGTGTTTTTTAAATTTTATAAACAGCTTGAAAAGCTTTAGGGGTGAGGTAAAAATAATCTTCTGTGAACTTTAGGCTATGAAGAAATACAGTTTTCTTTAAAATAAATATCCTACATCAATCCTGGCTATAATTTTTTTAATCTCATATTTATGTTGCATTTTAAAGTTAGCAAAGTGTTTCCCTCAAAACACCTCAAACTGCAAGTGTTATTATCTCCATTTTACAGATGAGAAACTGAGGCTCAGAGGATTCAGTAATTTGCTCCACGTCTTACAGTGCTAACATCAGAGCAGAAACTTCAGACCCTATCTGGTGCTCTTCCTCCCTGGCAAAGCTCTTGTCCTCAGAGAGGACTTTAAACTTTAGAAGACAGGTTTCTTCACTTATTTAAGAACCATCCCTATTTCTCAAACATTTTATCTAAGTGATAGAAATGGGATGGATGAAGAACACAGAAAACACCAGTTTGTCAAGAGTGTGATATTGTTCCTGGAGAGCCCATAGCTCTCTGAGGTGGAGGTGGGATTAGGAAATGACTGCTCCTTCCTGATTTCTTAGGCTTCCTCCTATATAGAAACACATCTGGGATATTTATCCTTGCTCCCTGTTACACATCAGGAAAACAAGGCCAGTATAGTCCCCTCGCCCACTGGAGACACCAGTCATGGAATCATGGTGATTTCAGACCATGAACGGTTAGGCTGCATCCCTGAATTACCACCTGGTAGACGCTTCTGGAACTCTCGTGACCGGTGGATACCTGCCCACTCAGCTTCCTTACTGGCCTTTGCCTCTTTACCTCCCGGACTCTAGGTGCTACCACCATCACCCTCATCCCAAGTGTCAGGTCTCCAGGACCTTCATTAAGTCCTGGTCTTCTGTAGGCCTTCCCACCTCTGGCTATCAGCCCTGGTGATTTTAACACCAACAATAAAAACGGCCCATGTACATTATGCTTAGCACAGTACCTGGTGCAAAGTAGGAGCTTAACATATGCTGGTTGACCTGATTTTCTGTAAAGAGTATAAAATACTTTCTTTACAACAACCTCTTACCTTCCTGGTAATAGGAGTATTGACCCGAGGAAATAGAGAGGCTTGCTCTGTCATTTTGTATTATACTGATTTCCTCTCACACCTGCGTCAAAGAGAAACTGGAAACAGCTCATCTGTTTTACTCCAGGATTTCTAATGATTGTTTCTGTTCCTTTAAAAATGTTAGGCACAGGGAGATCTGACTGCTTCAGGAACATTTGGTCAGTCAGTCCATAAGCCCTGGGCTGAGTGGGGGCGATGCCTGCTCTCAATGAGCTCACAGTCTGATGGGGGAGAAGAAAATGTAAACAACTACTCAGAGTCTCTTTGGAAGACACCCTGTGTAAAAAAGGCACTTAGTCAATGTTTGCTGAATTAAAACGGCTTAGTCTCCGTTGAGGAGATACTCTAGAATGGGACAAATTCACGTGTAGCCATTGGTAGCTTTGGTGTTGAATGGAGACCATAAACAAAACCAAGTCTCTTTTTAGGAAGAGTCAACCCTTCATATGAGCCACATGTTGCAAATTAACTCAACTCTCATTGAACTACACATGTGTAAGCATGATATTAAAAATTTGGGTATGCAGCAGTTGTGTGAAGCCCTTTATGTAAACACTGCTCTACGCTACCTGGATGTCAGCTGGTAAGAACAGATTTAGCCATATAATCTGAAACAATTTACTCAAGTATATCCCTGTTGGAAAAACCTATGCAGAATGGAATGTTAAATGTCACACCTGGAATAATTTGGCAATTATTTTTATTTTTTTAAATGCCTAGAAAGTTCAGTAGTCTTTTTGAATGTTTCATAAAGCTTTAACTTTTCTTAATCTTGGTGAGGCATCAGAGATAAAATTTCAACATATAAAGCATATGCTAATGATATTACATGGGTAATTTTTACTGTTAAATAAGATTATGTAATGGCTTCTTATAAGCTCTATAAATTGGGATGGAAGCATTTTAAAAAGTCTAGTTTTAAATAGCTTTCTCAGAAATTGATTGATTAAAGGAATTCATTCATCTAATAATATCCATTGCAACCTATTAAGTGTCCTTTCAAGACGAATAATAAGAAGCATTATGACCACACAGTTTCAAAAGCAATTCATTTTTCTCTTTCCTAGCAACAGAATAACTCGTGATGCAATGAAATATTTGGGAGAACTACTGAAAAGGAATAATGTATTGGAAGTAATAGATCTTTCTTCAAACAGAATCGAAGATGAGGGTTCCGTGTATCTGACCAAAGCCCTGGCTTTTTACAACACAAGTCTGAAAGCGTTAGTATAGATCTAAAAACTGTTAAGACGTATTTCATTTTAGAAAAACCTGTTACTGATAGAAGACAGTAACAGGACCCTAATGCTGATGCCCATTTTAGGTTTGAATTTGAATTTTTTGGTAGTACTTTAAAAAATTATCATTATATGATATTATTATTGCTATTATTATTATTTTAGGCTTTCCTCTTTGTCCAAAAGTTTATCATGTAGCTTTGAATATTTAGATACTCACCTGTACCTCATAAATTATGAAAATATATTCCAGTCTGTTGTTGGCTTTGAAAATTATTTTAAAATTTCTTTATTTGATTCTAGTTATAAATCCTTCCCAAGAATTAAACCAGAAAATCCTTGTCTTCAAGGATGCCCTCTTTCCAGGAATGTCTTTAGCATTATATAGGAGCATGGTTAAATGAAATTGAAGGAAAGTATATTTGCTATGTCAGAAGGGACAGGCTCACTGTCTGTCTAGCTCCAAACCTTGGTGTTAATGATAACTGGTCTTTCTAGAAGTCAGGAAGTTTGTTGTCAGTTCATCCAATCAGATTCTTGTCTTGCAGTGTCCCACCCACTTAACAACACTCCTTCCCTCCCTCCATCCCTGCTACATTACAACTGAGGGACTTTAAATCGGTTTACCTGTATATAACTCTTCAATCATACACTCGAATAAAAAGGTCAGACATTAAAAAAAAATTTTTGTTGTTTATTAAAAGAATAGGTTAACAATCTAGACTCAAAGTATAGCTCAATTAAAAGGCACTATTTTGAAGCATCCAATTGTGGATAATTTTAAGTTCTTACTTTTTTGTAGAAATAAATGGTAAATTAATTAGAAGCCACAAACTATGAAACACTTTACTTTAACACTGTTTTGTGTGTGTGTGTGTGTGTGTGTGTGTGGCAACTGGGGTTAAGTGACTTGCCCAGAGTCACACACCTAGTGAGTGTTAAGTGTCTGAGGTCACATTTGAACTCAGTTCCTCCTGACTTCTGGGCCAGTGTTCTATCTACTGCGCCACCCAGCTGCCCCCTTTAAAGATTAATGCTAAGATATTATTAGATTAAGCAAATTGCTTTAGCAACAGATTTCATAAATCCTGAATTTGTAATTCTTCGTGGATCTTTGGATTTCTATGTACCTAATACATTATCATCTTCCATTTAGGTTATCTATAGTAAGCAATAACATAACTGGAAAAGGACTTACTGCTTTTTCAGAATCAATGAAAACAAACAGCACACTTACTAATATTTACATCTGGGGAAACAAACTTGATAGTGAAACATGTGTGGTGAGTATTTTTTTTTCACTGTTTGCATTTTGTGATCCTCTTTCTTTATTAGAAGATACTCCTAGCAAACACAAGCATGTTACCTACATCTTGTCAGAGCTAATTCTGATTCCCTTTGTGAGATTTAAAGATTTTGGTAAAAAACTTGAAATTCTAAAACCTACCTACATTGGTGACTTCTGTGATTGAAATGTCAATAGACAAGATTTCTTTGATCCATACTTGTGATCCATACTTTGTTATTTATATGTTCTCTCCCCGTGAGGGCAGGTGTCCCCAGCACTTAGGTCAATACCTCCCTCACATTTGGTTAATGCTTAATAAATGATTCTTTCATGTACTTCAAGCTTGTAAAGAAGTGAAAGAAAAAAGAGAAGTTAGAAATCTCATTCTTCTGCATAAGTTGGTTATATGAAAGCTCTTTCCACTTGTGCTCCCTAAATGATCTGAAAAGAGCCCAAGTTGAACAATGACCAAGAAATCAGAAAGAAACAGGAGTAAGCACCTTCATCCAGCCTAGGATTGCACAGCACGACAGAAGCTGTGGGAACACAAAAGGCATCTTTCCAGAGAATCTAGCCCAAGTGCTGGTTAAGAAGCCAGAAAAAGCAGAGGCAGCACCCTGACTGGGGAAACCCACGGGGAAAGGAGCAACAAAAAATCACAGTATGCCTGAGCTGGGGGAACCTCATGAAAGACAGTGGCATCCCCAGCCAGGAAGCCCCATCAGGGTAGAAGATCATGGCAATGCCCTGACCTGGGAGAACCAACTGCAGAGCTCTCAGCATAAACACACAAGAGGTAGTAGAGGGCAGTGAAAAGAACCAGGAAAACAAAGAACCAACAGGGGCTGCCCAACCCCAGTTAAGCATACAGGAGGGGTGGAGCCTCGTCCTGGGCTCCACTGGCTAGACCAGGAACTGCAGGCAGAAATGTGAGTAACCAGAAGAAGGTACCAGCCACTATAAAGAAACATTATGGGCCCAGGTACACCTTAGAGACAAACCCAAAGGAAAAGAAGGACTTGACAACAGTGTCGTCAAACCCATTTAGAAATGGGGGCCATTGAACTGCACATAAGCAGTGTGTATAGGGATCCCTGTGGGCAACAGATTGAGAAAATCACAGATTACCTATGTTTTATTGTATTTTTGTTTATTAACTATTTCCCACTCTTATTCGGGCCACACTTTGTAGTGTTGTGAGCCCCATAAAGCCTGAGAACCACATGTTTAACACTCTGCACTGCAAACACTATAAGCAGAACATTAAAGAAAAAAAAATGGCTTGGCCACAAGAAGTAGAAAAATACCTGAAATGAAGCAAGAGATTTAAAAACAGAATTAAAAGTGACATGTGAGCTCTGTAGGAAAGAACTGGATGGAGGAATAAACAGCTTATTACAGAAGGTGGAAAGTCCATGAAAATATAATAGATCAAGCAGAACTCAGTGATTCCATGAGACAACAAGAAACATGAGGAAAAAAGTCAAAAGACTAGAAAATAATAGAAGAAAATGTCAAGTACATACTATTAAAAACAACTGACTTGGGTGGAGGAGCGATTTAAGAATCATCGGATTCCCTAAAAACCAGCAAAAAGAAGAAAGCCTGCATACCATGTTTGAAGAGATCATAAATGAAAACTAGTACGATTTACTAGAGCCAGACAGCAAAGTAAAGCAGAAAGAAATCAGCTCTTATTTCCTGAAAGAAACTCTAAAATGAACCCTCAGAAATGTCCTAGCAAAAATCCAAATTTTCCAGATCAAAGAAAAAGTGAAAGAAAGAGTTCAAATATAAGAACTACAGTCAGGATCACAAAAGACCTAGAGGCTGCAATTGTAAAGGAAAAAGAAATCTTGGAAACAATACAATGTTTCAAAAGGCAAAAGGCTTATGACCAAAAAGAATGGGTCTTTAATGATCATTAAACAGAGGAGTTTGAAGAATTCCTCATGAAAAGACCAGAGCCAAGCAGGTGCTTCAGAATACAAATACAGGCTTCCAGAGGAACATATGCAGATAAATTGCATTTTAACTATTAGAAGGGGGCAAATGGTGATGAACTGCTGATAATGACGTCAAAGACCATAGGCCATAGAAGGAACTGATAAGACAGAGGAAGTGGGAGGGCAGCTTTGTTCTGTTTTTATGGCCTTAAATGAAAAAGGAAAGGGAAAGAAAGGGGAATGTGCTAAGGAAGCAATGAAGGAGGTGAGGTACACTTTTTCATAACTAAAATATATGTCAAAAATATAAAAATAAAGGAAGGGTTTAGGGAAGCAGGCATCACACAGCTATCTCTCATCTGAATTGGATAAAGGATTGAGCAGACACACAACACACACACACATACACAAAGGGACAGCTGCAGTAATACATCAAACTCAACAGGGAAATGTGGTGGGAACAGGAAATGGGAAGAGAAGGGGAAAGAAAGGAAATTATTATTAGAAACCACTTTTCCCAATTACATGAGAACAAAATTGATAACAAATGATATTGATGAACATTTACAAAAATATAAAATAGGCTAATAAAATAATAAATAAAGAATTTAAATAGCCCAGTCTCAGAACAGGAAATTTTATAAACCATAAATGAGCTTCCAAAGGACCAAAACCAAAAACAAACCAGGAGCAGATGGATTTACAAGTGAAATCTCTCGAACATTCAAGAAACAATTCCAGTATTGCATAAACTATTTGCCAAAATACTACCACATTCTTTCTATGATACCTTTATTTCTCAACACCTAAATCAAGGGGAGACAAAGCGGAGAAAGAAAACCATAGACCAATGTCCCTCATTAATCTTGATGCAAAAATATTTAATAAAATATTGAAAAAAAGGAAATTATGGTACCAAGAATACAGGGTTGGTTCAGTATTAAGAAAACTCTATAAGAATACAAGTCATTCCCCAACTGATAAATGGTCAAAGGATATGAACAGGCAGTTTTCAGATGAAGAAATTAAAGCCATAGTCATATGAAAAAATGCTCTAAGTCAGTACTGATTAGAGAAATGCAAATCAAAACAACTCTGAGGTACCACATCACAGCTATCAGACTGGCCAACATAACAAAACAGGAAAATGACAAATGTTGGAGAAGATGTGGGAAAATTGGAACACTAATGCATTGTTGGTGGAGTTGTGAAATGATCCAACCATTCTGGAGAACAATTTGGAATTCTGCCAAAGGCAACCAAGCTATGCATACCCTTTGATCCAGCAATACCACTACTAGATCTGTATCCTAAAGATAAAAAAAGGAAATGTACCTATTTGTACAAAAATATTTATAGCAGCTCTTTTTGTGGTGGCAAAGAATTGAAAACTGTGGGGATGTCCATCAGTTGGGGAATGGCTGAGCAGGTTGTGGTATATGAATGTAATGGAATACTATTGTGCTCTAAGAAATGATGAGCAGGTGGATTTCAGAAAAACTTGGAAAGACTTATATGAACTGATGCTGAGTGAAGTGAGCAGAACCAGGAGAACACTGTACACAGTAACTGCAACATTTGTGCAATGACAGACTATGATAGGCTTAGCTTTTCTCAGCAATACAATGATCTAAGACGATTCCAAAAGATTCATGATGGAAAATGCTACCCATATCCAGAGAAAGAACTTTGGAGTTTGAATGCAAATCGAAGCATAATATTTTCATTTTGGGGTTTTTTTTCTTTCTTGTGGTTTTTCCCCATTTGTTCTGATTCTTCTTTCAGAACATGACTAATGTGGAAATATGTTTAATATGATTGTACATGTATAACTTAGGTTGCTAGCTATCTTGGGAAGCAGTGAAGGGAGGGAGGGAGAAAAATTCAGAACTCAAAATCTTATAAAAAATGAATGGTTAAAACTGTCTTTACAAGTAACTGGAAAAAGTACTATTAAATAAGTGCAAAAAATAAAATGTATAGACAGGAGAAAAGTATTTGGCCAAACAATGGGATTAATATGATCACAGAAGATTAAAATGGATAATTTTGATTACATAAAACTGAAAAGTTTTTCTACAAATCAAAATGTAGTTAAAATTAAAAATGAAACAGCCTAGGAAAAAATCTTTGCCTCAAGATTCTTTAAATTAAATCTGATTTCCAAGATATTATAGGGTACTCATCAAAATACATAAAGGTAATTGTTCTTTTGGTATGGTTAAGTTGACTATCTTGCAAGGGGAATTAAGTTGCAGGTCCTGAGAACTTTATTTTGTCCCAATACGGGAACAGAATTAACAGAAGTTTTGAGCACATTTCAAAAGGGAGGAGAGAAGAAACTTTCCCCTGCAACCAAAGTGGCAGGAGCATCTGTAGTTTCCTTCCCCAAACCCCAGTCCCAAAGGTATCTTCTAAGAGGGGAAAGCTAAAGGGACAAGTGGTGAGGAATAGGATGCATTACTTTCTATTGAAGGAGCTCTCTCAAGTGGCTGGAGTCCTAAAGGAATGAATCCTCAATCCTGGCACTGCTGATGGACAGAATAACTGCCCATCCACCAGAATGAACAATGCAAAGTGTGGTTAACCAGCCGTGAAAATGAAGGGATTTCGAAGATAAAGAAGGAAAAATAATGCGTGAGACATTGAGAAATACCTTTTCCAGCATGGATTAATGTGATTTATAGAACACTTTGATTGTATGATGCTAAACAATAAAGGAATTATATCTATAAAGCCCCCCCACCTGTAAAACTTCAAGGCTTAATTTTTAAATTTTGATATAAAATGTAAAAATTAAAATATTTAAACTTGAATCACACTGTTAATCTTCTGCAAATACTATTTGTTTGTTTAAAATCCTAGGCATTTTCAAACTTAATAACGTCGGGTCGTCTGAAAAAAGATAATACAGATGTGGAGCCCTATGAAGTTGATGGCTGCATGTATCTTGCAGAGCTGTCTCATGGCATCAAAAAACATTATTATTGGACACCCACTTATGGAGAAATCGAAGGTCCTTCAACCAATGCAGGCTTTGCTATTGTGCAGTCAGCCAAAAACCTATGAAAACAAGTTTCTATGTAAGTCATTTCTATGTTTTTTTAATTGTATTACTGTCATAGATTTGGTATGTTAGTTATCTTTAATTGATTAAAATAATATGTCATGCTTTAAAAGGCTATAAATACAATGAATGTTGTATAACTTTACACAAATATTAAACAAAACATGGCTGAAGTTTAAAAAAATTAATATAAGTACAAGAGCACGCTTACTGGGAAGACAGGACTCCAACTGCTCCTCTCACACCAGCTGGTGACAGGGGGCAAATCCCTCACACTGTTTGTTAGTGTCCAAAAGAGCACACTGGGATGGGAATACACACCTATTGATAAAGTAACAGCTCCAACCATCCTTCCTACACGTGTGTATGTATGTGTATCTATGTGTGCAGACACATGCATACACGCATGCAGACCACAAAATCTTGACCTCTCCCCTTTTTAAACATGCATGACAAACACAGCAGTAATCTGAGCTGTGTAACTCACATTCTCTTCTATTTTTTCATTCTTTTGATTTTGTTTTATTATTTCTTGGTATCTTATAACATCATTAGCTTCCCTTTGCCCAATTTGATACTATAAGTAACAAGGAAAAAACAGTTTAAATACAGTCAGGATAACACAAGATCTAGCAGCTCCCTCATGAAAAGACCAAAGAGGAGGGATCTGAACATTTAATTTCGAAGAGCAAAGGAGCTGGGTTTGCAACCAAGAGCAAAGCTCAGTGTAATCCTTATTTTTTAAAATGGACATTTAATGAATGAATTGAAAGACTTTCAGGTATCTGTGACGAAAAGAACAGAATTCAGTGGAAAATATGACATATAAGATCCAAGAGAAACATGAGGCAAACAGTGAAGATCAAGACTCAGTAAGGTCAAACTATTCACTTCTTATGTGGGAAAGTGTCATCATACTTTTAAGAATGTCATCATTACGTGGGTAGTTTGAAGGACCACACATAGATGGAAGACTTGGGTCGAGTTTAACATGATGGGATGATCTACAACATGAAATTGGGTTGGCTGAGGTAAAATGGAGCAATTATCATACAAACAAGGCATGAATGGAAAAACTGTTACAGTGGAAGGGGGTGGGCGTGGAGAGCTAAGAGTGCTAAAACCTTATTCTCCTCAGAACTAGGTTAAAGAGGGAATAACATATATATCTAGAAGAGTATAAAAGTCTCCTAAATTTATAAAGAAATAGGGTGAGAGGACACGATAAGGGAGGGACTTTTAGAAGGGTGTGTAGATAAAGAAGTAGGAGAGTGGGGGAGAGGATGAGGGAGGGATTCTTACAAGGGTGGGTGGATTAAGGAATAGGAGGGGAAGGGGAAGGGATAAGGGAAGGATTCTTTAAAAGGGTGTGGATTAGAGGATAGTAGAAGTAAATCAGATTTGTGATGGGGGATAGAGTAAAAGAGGGTGAGAAAGAGAATAAAGAAGAAAAATAGGATGAAGGAAAATACACAACTAGTAATTATAACTTTGAATGGGAATGGAATGATCTCATCCATAAAACAAACAGATAGCAGAATGGATTAAAAAATCAGACTCCAACAGTATGTAATTTTGAAGAAACACATTTAAATATGAGAGATACACACAGAGTTAAATAAAGGGCTAGAGTAGAATTTATTATTCTTCAGCTGAGGTTAAAAAAAAAAAGCAGGGTAGTAACCATGATCTCAGACAACGTTAAAGCTAAAATATTTTAAAATAAGGGAAACTACATTACAATAAAAGGTACCAAAGAAAATGAAGCAATATCAAATACTAAACATTCATGCACCAAATGCTATGTACCTAAATTTAGGAAAAGTTGAATGAATTACAGGTGGAAATACTATAATAGTGGGGGACTTTAACCTTCTCCTCTCAGAGTAGACAAATCTAACAAAAAAATAAATAAGAAAAAAATTAAGGAGGTATGTAGACTCTTAGACAAGCTAGATATAAAGATATCCTGAGAGAACTGAATGGGAATAGCATTACATGGCACCTTTACAAAAATTGACCATATATTTGGGCATAAAAACTTTATGGCTAAATGCAGAAAAGCAGAAATGTTAAATGCATCCTTTTTGGATCACAATGCAATAAAAATTATATTAAATAAGGGACCACGGAAACATGGATTAAAAACTAATTGGAGACTGAACAACCTAATCTTACAGAATATTTGGGTTAAAGAACAAATTATAGAAACAATAATTTCATTCACGGAATGACAGTAATGAGACAACATTTCAAAACCTGTGGGATGCAGCAAAAGCTGTAAATACAGGAAAATTTATATCTCGAAATGCTTACATTAATAAAATAGAGAAAGGGCAGACCAATGAATTGGATGTATAATTAAAAAACAGAAAAAGAACAAATTAAAAATCCCCAATTAAATGCCCAATTAGAAATCCTAAAAATTAAAGGTGAGATTAATAAAATTGAGTGTAAGAAAATCATTGAATTAATAAATAAAACTAGGAATTGGTTTTTTGGGGACAAATGATAAAATAAACCATTGGTTGATATAATTTTTTTTTCCTTTTTTTTGGCTAGGCAATGGGGTTAAGTGACTTGCCCAGGGTCACATAGCTAGTAAGTGTTATATGTCTGAGGCTGGGTTTGAACTCAGGTCCTCCTGAATCCAGGGCCAGTGTTCTATCTACTGTCCCACCTAGTTGCCCCCAATATAATTTTTTAAAGGGAGAAGAAAACCAAATAACTAATATTAAAAATTAAAAGAGTGAACATACCACTAAAGAAGATGAAATCAAAGCAATTAAAAGGAGTTATTTTGCCCAATTATATGCCAAGAAGTTTAACAATTTAAGTGAAATGGAAGAATACTTAGAAAAATACAAACTGCCTAGATGAACAGAAAAGGAAATAGAATATCTAAATAAACCTATTTTAGAAAAAGAAATTGAAAATGTTGTAAATGAGCTTCCTAAGAAAAAAGCACCAGGACCAGATGAATTTACAAGTGAATTCTACCAAACATTTAAAGATCAACTAATTCCAATATTAAATTATTTGGAATAATAGGCAAAGGAGTCTTACCATACTACTTTTATGAAAGAAATGTGGTAGTGACACCTAAATCAGAAAGAACAAAAAGAGAAAAAGAAAATTATAGATCAGTTTCATTAATGAATATGGAAGCAAAAACCCTCAATAAATACCACCTAGGAGACTACAACAATATCTTACAAAGATTATACATTGTGACTAAGTGGGATTTATAGCAGGAATGCAAGGATGGTTCAAAATAAGGAAAACTATTAACATAATTGGTTATATCAATAACGAAAGGAACAAAAATCATATGATTATATCAACAGATACAGAAAAGGCTTTTGATGAAATACAACACTTGTTGCTATTAAAAATACTTGAAAGCATAGGTATAAAGGGATTTTTCCTTAAAATGATAAGAAGCATCAACCTAAAACCACCAGCAAGCATTTTTTGCAATGGAGATACCCTAGAAAGAAGCCTTCCCAAGAAGATCAGGAGTGAAACAAGAAATTGAGGGGATGCCCATTGTCACCAGTATTATTTTCAATATTGTATTAGAAATGCTAGCAATAACAATAAAAGAAAAAGAAAATGAAAGAATCAGAATGGGCAGTGAGGTAATAAAACTGCCTTTTTTTGCAGACAATATGATGATATACTTGGGAAATCCTAAAGATTCAACTAAAAATGGAAACAGTTTTAATGAAATAGCCAGATATAAAATAAACCCATGTAAATCATCAGCATTTTTTATATCTCCAACAAAAACCTGAAAGAAGAGATAGTAAGAGATACCCTATTTAAAATAACAGTAGAAAGTGTAAAATACCAGAGAGTATACCTATGAAAACAAACTAAAGAACTGCATAAAGATAATTAAAAATGAAGTCAAATTTAAATAATTGGAGAAATATTAATTGTGCATGGGTAATCAGAGCCAATATAATAAAAACGACAATTTTATCTAAATTTATCTATCCAATGCCGTCTCTATTAAATTACCAAAAAAAACTATTTTACTGAGCTAGAAAAAATAACAAAATTCATTTGGAAGAATAAAAAGTCAAGAATATCAAAGGAATTAATTAAAAAAAAGTAAAGGAAGGAGGTTGTAGTACGAGATCTTAAACTATACTATACGTCAGTAATTATCAAAACTATCTGGTACTGGCTAAGAAATAAAGAAGGTAGATCAGTGGAATAGAGTAGACAAAATGAATACACGGTAACAAATGATTATAGTAACCTTGTGTCTGACAAATAAATTTAAGCTTTGGGGATAAGAATTCATTATTTGGTAAAAAAAAAAATTGAGAAAGCTGGAAAGCAGTCTGGCAGAAATTGGGCATAGACCAATATTTTACACCATTTACCAAGATAAGGTCAAAATGGAACATGGAACACATTACCTATCAGACTTGTGGATTATGAATAAACAAGAGATAGCATTGTGTGGTATAAAATGGATGACTTCTATTACATTAAATTTAAAAGGGTTTGTACAAATAAAACGATGAAGCCAAGATTAGAAGGAAAACAGAAAACTGGAGAAAATATTTATAGACGGTTTCTCAGATAAAGGTTTCACATCTCAAATATATAAAGAACTTTGTCAAATTTATAAGAATATAAGTCATTCCCCAGTTGATAAATGGTCAGAGGATATGAACAAGCAATTTTTTTGAGGAAGAAATCAAAACCATATGTAATCGTTTTTTTAAAATGCTCTAAATCACTATTTTTTAGAGAAATACAAATTAAAACAACTTTGAGATATCATCTTACACCTATCAGATTGGCTAAACCGATGGAAGGGGAAAGCAACAAATGTTGGGATGCAGAAAAACTGGGATACTAATTCACTGTTGGTGGAACTGTGAACTGATCCAAACATTTTGGAAAGCAGTCTGAAATTATGCCCAAAGAGTTGAGAAACTGTGTGTACTTTTTGACCCAGCAATACCACTATTAGATCTGTTTCCTAAAGTGGGA